TAACAGAACCTAAATCGAGGTAAGGCTAGGCCTAGCCTAGCAGCGTTGGATAGGCTAATGTTTTCGGCGCTTACGATATTTCTTCTCACGACCTATCGCAAAATCAACATGAAAAATTATCCGCATTTATTTTTTGTGTGGAACACAAAAAAAAATCAAATTTCAGTCTCATTTTACATTTTTTTCATTCTTAGGAATGTCTAAATTCAGTTAAACTAGCAATTCCGTATTATATTTATAAATTTTTATAACATTATACAAAAGTTAGATTTTTCTGAAAAACTGAAATTTTGCCTGGAATGGGGCTTTAAGTTGCCACCTTCATGTTGTTGAAGATTATCCAACTGTCTGATGGTAATTGGGCAGTACAGTGGAAATCGTGAGCATTAACTTCAAGTCAATGTTAAATGTAATGTACCCTAATTTTACGTGTGCGCGTCATAATGCGCACTTACGCGTGCGTCAAAATTTTAAAATGCTCGAAATCACATTTATATTAAATTAGAGCACGTTTCAGGCCATTTTGAGCATTTCAAAATTTTTTTGAAATTTACCACTACGCGTGCGCATTTTTACGCGCGCAGCACGTATGGAAGCTAGAAATTAATTTTTTTGTCACATTTTGGGTTCTTGACATTGTTTTGACAAGTTTCCAAACTTTTCAATCACTCTATGGCCAATAACAATGCCGTACGCATGTATCAAACATAGTGACCTTTGTGGGCATTTGTGCCGATATACAGTGAAATTTTGCTGAAATCAGGCCTAATTTTAAACAGTTACAGCTCTTTAGGATGAAGGTGACCCCCAATTTTTATTACATATTCTGAAAGCACATGATTTTTAAATATGATTTTATAGGTCATAATGGCTGATTGGACATTATGACGTCATCAAATTGCCATCTGAATTCAACAAAACTGAATATTATGACGTCATCATGGTCAAAATATAGGGTTTTGCTTACCCTCCTCATCTTTCTTTCGTCAAGCCTTTGATGATCCCATAATCACCTTAATCAGTCGTGATTTCTGAATCATATTTAGTGGATATAAACTTTAGGTCATGGTTAAATGTTATGTACATTTTTTGTGCGCACGTAATAACGCGAGTGTTCGCGTGCATCAAAATTAATATGCTTTATATCATGTCTTTTTTAATCAGTTATAGCTCCTTAGGATGAAAGGTGACCCCTAACTTTTATTACATATTCTGAAAGCACATGAGCTGTAGATATGATTTTATAGATTATAATGGCTGATCGGACATTGTGACGTCATCATATTGCCATCTGAATTCAACAAAACTGATTTTATCGATTACGTCATTTTTCAAAATACCCATTTGAGCGTATCTCGCTTATCCTTGATGGATTGTCTTCCAATTTTGAGTATGTTATAGCTGAGACAATTCTTTTTCATATATGTGACTTCTTTTTACATTTTGATGACATCATCATGGTCAAAATAAATGTTTTTTCTGTCCCCCACCCCCTCATCTTTCTTTCCTCAAAATGTTGATGACGCCAAATCATCATAACCATTCGTCATTTCTGAATCATATTTAGTGAGCATAAACTTCAGGTCAAGGTTAAATGTCATGTACCTTAATTTTTCGTTTGCGCTTCTGAACGTGCGCGTACGCGTGCGTCAACAATTGTATATGCTTAAAATAATGCCTATTTTTAATCAGTTAGAGCTCCTTAGAATGAAAGGTAACACCCAATTTTTATTACATATTCTGAAAGCACATGAGTTGTAGATATGATTTTATAGTTCATTATGGCTGATCGGACATTGTGACATCATCATATTGTCATTTGAATTAAGAAAAAACTGAATTTTTATTTATGACGTCATTACTTTTTATACTCGTTTGAATGTATCTCGCTTATCTTGATTGATTGTCTCCCACCTGTGAGTATGTTATAGCTAAATCAATTCTCTTTTGGACGTGTCCCTTTATTTTTCATTTTGATCACGTCAGCATGGTCAAAAAGAAAGAATTTTTAGAAAACTTTTATCTAAAAAGAATGAATTTTTAGAGCATTCTTATCTCTCATTCTTAAAAGATGTAAAAAACACAAGAGGGCGGCAGACTGTATTTCGACGCTATGTGACTTATATATACAGTATAGATTATATAAAGGGAAAATTCCTGTGGCAATAATAACTAACAGACGTGATCAAAATTTTTCATTTTCATCACGTCAGCATGGTCAAAAAGAATGAATTTTTAGAGCATTCTTATCTCTCATTCTTAAAAGATGTAAAAAACACAAGAGGGCGGCAGACTGTATTTCGACGCTATGTGACTTATATATACAGTATAGGTTATATGAAGGGAAAATTCCTGTGGCAATAATAACTAACAGACGGTTTTAAAAACACGGCAATATTTAATTTCGTGTGCCATTACTGTACACGTACACGTCGTGACGTGTGCGTATGTGAAAATTTTAAAATTCTCAATATCACTATTCAGATAGTAGGTCATTTTCAGCATTCCAAAACTTTCCATATTTACGCGCCATACGTTCCTTTCCACGCACACAGCACGTACTGAAGCTGGAAATCATGTTTTGTGTTCCTGACACTGTATTCATATCAGGAGTCACTCTTTACCGTCATTACCGTGCTCATGTGTGTCAAGACGTCCGTGTACGCATGCGTAAATCTTTAAAAAAAAAAAGGCTCAAAATTATTCTATTTAAAAAAACTAATTACAGCATATTTTAGCATATTATGAATCTTTTTAATCAGCACCGCGCGCGCTTTATGAGGGTCAAAGTACGGCGGATCACCAAACTCGTCCTCAGTGACGAGTTCAAATCTAGTTTTATTCTTCTTTCTTTCTCCCCTTTTTTGTTCGCACGATATCTCAAGAATGCTACGAGGTACGCACAAAATCGCTTCCTCGATAATTTTGGCTTCGTCTGGAATTGACATGGTAAGGTTTTCAAGGTGACCAGTCATGCGTGACGTTAGCTACGTGAAATTTGCGTTTTTACATTATCGATCATATCAGCCCAACCATTTGCTATTTTGAAATCGTATTAAGTGAGCATTAACTTCAGGTCTATGTTGAATGTACTGTACCCTAATTTTACGCGTGTGCTTCATAACGCGTGCGTATGCGTGCGTCAAAATTTCAAAATGCTCAAAATCACTTTTTGATTAAATTAGAGCACGTTACACGCCATTTTGAGCATTTCAAACTTTTCCGAAATTTACCACTACACATGCACATTTTTACGCGCGCAGCACGTATGGAAGCTAGAAATTAAGTTTTTTTGTCACATTTTGGGTTCCTGACAAATGAGACCTAATTTTAAACAGTTACAGCTCTTTAGGATGAAAGGTGACCCCCAATTTTTATTACATATTCTGAAAGCACATGAGTTGTAAATGTGATTTTCTAGCTCATAATGGCCGATCAGACATTGTGACGTCATCATATTGCTATCTGAATTCAACAAACTGAATTTTATCGATGACGTCATTTTTGAAAATACGCATTTGAGCGTATATCGCTTACCCTTTGTCGAACGTCTTCCAACTTTGAGTATGTTATAGCTGAGGCAATTCTCTTTCGTTATGTGACTTCTTTTTACATTTTGATGACGTCATCATGGTCAAAATAAAGGTTTTTGATGACCCCCTCATCTTTCTTTCCTCAAACATTTAATGACCCCATAATCACCTTAACCACTCGTGATTTCTGAATGATATTTAGGTGGCATAAACTTCAGTTCTTGGTTAAATCTTACAGTATGTACCTTAATTTCGTGTGCGCGCGTCATAGCGGGCGCGTACGCATGCGTCAAAATTAAAATGTGCTTAATATCATGCCTTTTTTCAATTAGTTATAGCTCCTTAGAATAAAAGGTAAACCCCAATTTTTATTACATATTCTAAAAGCACATGAGTTGTAGATATGATTTTATATATCATAATAGCTGATCGGACAGTGTGACGTCACCATATTGCCATCTGAATTTTTATATATGATAAATACGATGAATGATAATTACTCCTTCACCAACAGGCGTTTGTCAATGAAAGTTGATACATATATCTCATATCAGGAGACAACAGTGACATTAAAATGCACACGTGCGTCATGACGTGCGCGTACGCATAAGTAAATCTTTTAAAATGCTCCAAATTCTTTTTTAACAAACTAAATTAGCGTATTTTGCCATTTTCAGCATTTAAATATTGTTCAATCCGCACCACGCACAATTCCTTGTGGGTCGAAGTGCGGCGGATCACCTAACTCGTCCTCAGTGACGAATTCAAATCCAGTCTTCTTTTTTTTCTTATTCTTCTTTCTTTCTCCCCTTTTCTGTTCGCACGATATCTCAAAAAATGCCATGAGTTACGCACAATCGCTGTCAACGAACATTTGGCTTGGTCTGGAATAGTCATGATAAACTTTTCAACGCGCTCAGTCATGCGTGATGTCATCTACGCGCAATTTTGCGTTTTTACATTATCGATCATATCAGCCTAACCAATTGC